ACACACACACACACACACACACACATTGGTGTATTTATCCTATATATTTTTTGTTTTATGTACATTTTTTGTTCAAGTTCATTTCACCTGAAACACTGGTTAATGAGAGTTAATATTATTAGTTTTATAAAAATAAACTTTGATTAAAATTATAAATCGGCCTTTCCTAAGTAAGTGATACACCTGTGATGCTTGAAAGAAATTGATGGATGGATGGATGGATGGATGAATGAATGAATGAATGAATGAATGAATGAATGAATGAATGAATGAACTGACTTTCTCCGACGGTTGGTTTCCAGGGAAAATTTGCGAGCTCGGGTTTTGCACAACTTCTGCTCTTGAACCAAACTCTGTCTCTCGTGTTCGAGGTTTCCACCAGTTTCCAGCCTGAAGTTTCTGGAAGCGACACGCTCAGGATAAAAACACGTCACAGGATGTGGATCAAATTATTGACTTCAGTAATTAATAAGAGTATCATCATGAATAAAACAAACTGCTGACATGACAATCCAGCTGCTAACTAAGTGAACGCGTGAAGGATACGAGAGGTAGGATGAGTTTTTATGAAAAACATGCATCCTTCCAGGATCACAGACATCCAGCTCCGGAAGAGTCGCTGCTAACTTCTCGTCGTAGCCCGCGAAATAAAACTCATCTGTTTTTAAGTTTAAGATATGTTTGTAAAGAAAATATTTGAACCCACATAACTTTCCCCGCTAAACAAACAACTCCCGTTTAGAATAATAAGAAAGAAACCCTGTTTCATCGACGCGTTTCCGTTTGTGTACAGTCGCTCGGTGTTAGCAACCGAAGACGCACTTCCTTAACAACCAGAGAAGCTCGCGCATGCTGCTTTCAAGTACGTCTTAAACGGTGGTTATATACACGATCGAGAAATACACAATCATCTTTTGGCAAAATTAAACATAAAAAAACGGAAACAAGCTTTTTTTTTAATAGCAAAAATCAATGGTATAAGTAGGCTACATATTAGCTTTAATTGAGATTTAATAAAGTTTAAAAACACTAAAAAGGAGACTGATAAAAATAAGAGCAAACGTCTTTGAATGCATCTTATCTTTTTAAATTATATTTATTAAATTCAGATTAATGTTTAGGCGTGATGTTTTTAGAAGTAACATCAAAGCAATCCATGTTAAACACCCCACAAACATATTTAGTTTAAATATAAACAGCCGTGGCTGTTTATATTTAAACTACCAACAAATGTGTCTTTACTTGTAGCCTGGACACTTTCACTGTAAAATTGTTAAATATTATAAATAAAATTTGCAGATTCATATTAACTGCTGATCCTTCAAGCCTTCACACAAATTGATGCAGATGTGGGGATTGTAGTTTTAATATTTTGTACTGATTAATTTCCTTCCACAGCATGACTGAGATGAAAGTGTGCAGGTGCTCTTTTTTTCTGATTGCAACTGGATTGAACAGAATTTGTTCAAATCTACTTTTTCATTTATTTGCTATTCTACTACAATTAAATTTTTAGGTCTGATGGACACTGAATAATATTGATTGACTGTACTAAAACACACATACTTGTGCAAAACCACCAACAAATGTGTCTTTACTTGTAGACTGGACACTTTCACTGTAAAATTGTTAATTTTTTTAATGGTCATTTTGCCTCATTTTATGAGAATCATACCACTTGTGCAGTTTTAAAGACTCAAATTCACATTTGGGTTAACTTAATGCTGTATAATAATTTTTACGAGTACAGTGATTAAGGATTAAAGAAATAAAACGGAATCCTCTCTGCAGGACACACCTTCAAATCTGCCCACTGGGCGTGCAAACACAGGCAGCCTGAAAACATTCTGGGACAAACTGAATGTCAGTCTGCAAGGTGGTCATCAAGCCGAGTTGGATGTTGCATGAGCTCCAGCTGACCATCAGAGGACACAGTTGTAACTTCCAGTGATTCAAACGGGAATGATTACAAAGTTATTTGTTGGACCGATCCTTTCAGAGGTGAGTGTATGGTTGTATTGGATTTGGCTGAATAGATTAGTATTTTAATGTGTTATTTCCAAAAACAAAATCTTTTCTATTAATATTAAAGAATGAACTACCAGATACACATTTTCCCCCACTTTTTCTGTTCACTGCTCCATCACATCCTGACAAATATGACACAAAAGCACATCAGTGGCATGCACCCTTTTAAATATATATATAAAAAGATCTTTACCTCATCATTGAGTCAATATACTGTTTTTATTCCAGTTTTAGAATTTGCTCATAACAGCATGTACAACAGGGCAACAATTTCAACTTGGATTATCTCACCTAACAAATAACTGGACTCAAACAGGACTGGCTTTATTTTCTGTTTGCACTTGCCAGGTTGCTCGGTTGTGTAAAATTGTGTTAGCATTAATTAAGAGTAAACGGATGGGACTCGTCATCATTTGGCATCTGCATCAATTGTGCTGAAGCAATTAGCTGTAGAGATAACCACATTATTTCAGTGTAATTACTGAACAGAAAATAGATTAAGTAGCTTGACTGTAACATGAGATGCAATTAGTACTAAAATAGCCACTGTCATTAGTATATTTTCTGTGTTTAATATCACGCTTTAAAAGTTTTACATGATAATAGATTGTGTTATCTCAGACAGCATCATTGTTCTTTAGCACAATGAAAAGAAAAGCTAAACACGTTTGTCCTGAGATAAGATAAGAGGATGAGAGGATAAACAGTGCCATGCCATGTGATTAAAAAGAGCAGATGATGAATCTGTGGGTGGCGTCACACATGGAGCCAAAGTGCAAATTCAGCTGAGACCATTCACTTCTTAAATTAAAATCTCAAGACCTTCTTTGGAAATAAGATGAAAAAAACAACAACCTGTGAATTTTAAAAACTGAAAATCTCTCCAGAAATTTGAAGCTAAAAAGAAAAAGAAGCTAAAAACTGAGCATTTAAATTTAAAACAAGCAGAAAAGAAGCTACAATTAGCAAAGCAGAGGTTAAAATAAGCATGACGGGGTTGCAGTGAGCACAGTAGGCTAAAAATAAGCAGAAATCAAGCTGAAAGTGAACAGAACACCATCTAAACTAGACATTGGGTTTTTACGATGTAAAAACAAGTGTGCATTGCCATGTAGCATGTCATTGCAGCATGGCTTTGCCTGCAACATTGGACATGCAGAATGAACTTTGACCAAGTTCAAATGTGTTTTCTATACCAGCTTGTGCCTGTCACGTCAGCAGGTGTTTGTAATTAAGGTAATTGTGTGACAAAATGAAATTTGCAGAGATAGATTTTTTGTTAAAGCTGCATTAGCTGGGTTTTGATCCTTGATCTCCCACATGAAAGTCCATGACATAGACCATTAGACCAATGGAGCTACAGAAGAAGGTGGTGGCAGGGGTTAGTTTGTATGTGTGCAGAAAGACACCACATTGCCAATACAATTGTTGACACAAAAATGCATAATCTTACAACAATTGAGCAGTATTAAGACAATATTATAGTAAAACATCAAAATACAATCATATTAGTACTGTAAACGCTGAACTACTGAGTTGAAGTATTAAAAATATGGTGCAGTACCAAGTTGAGTACAGCACAGGGCAGTATTGGACCAATAAAAGGCTCCATTGACGTCCGTTATAATTCATTAAACATTAATATTTCATAAACTATAAGTTGTACAGGCACCAAAAGGCATAGCCATCATTTGGCACAGGAGCTTTACAGATATAAATTACAATGGCAGCTCTTGGACAAAGTATGCAGGAGGAGAAGCATGGCAAAGTTGAGATGACTTGGATGGGAAACGCATCACAATAGTGTGCATTGCATTGGCAATGCACACTGATAACTCAAATCAGCAGAACAGTAGCTCACATAAAAGCTAAAATGGGAAGAACAGTAGCTAAAATTAGAACTGAGTTAATCAGAACTGAGATATTTGAATCAGGTAAATATCCTTATAGAGAGAACAAAATTAGTTTTTCACTCCAAATGAATTCAACAACTACTAAATTATTTTTAGAGTGTATGCACTTGTATGTTTGTGTATATTTTAAAGGCACCATTTAGTAAAACAAATACATATTTCGTTTTATCCTGATTCTGGAAATAACCTGGGAAATGACAATAAAGG